AATAAACATCTTATTTCAACATCTGTTGAAATAAAGTAGCATGTTTCCAATGTAGTTTATAGTTCCACTGTCGTTCATGTTTTATTTCAGTACAAAAGTGAAAGAATTTAGATTTCCTTGGTGCAAGCTGAAAAACTTTAGAGGGAAGATACCCTTTATGCTGAAAAAACTGCATAAACTGTATAGGTGTTGAGAACGAATGAGGAAGTCACCCTCAGTTGGCAATTTTTCACCTTAAATTACCTTCTGTAGTTTTTTGTTACGCCCAGACTTCTGGAAATAACTAGTACAATGAATGTAGGTCTCAACGCTATACACAGTTCCCTTGAAAAGAAAGGCCCGTGGATGGAAAGCATGCTGGCTTTTCCTCTCCCCAGCATGTACCAATCTGCAGGAGTAACTTACTGAATTGAGTATGCTCTGTAAGTACCGTGTAAGCTAAAGCAACTGTTGTTTAATGCAATAAATATCTTACTGTATCCATTGTTCAGGTTGACTGTTTTATGCCTTTTTTTTTTACTTCAAATTCAATTATTTTTACTACTAACTGCAGTACATAAGCAGTATTACTATGGAGGTAACCAGTTCTTAAAATCAAAATATTAAGGCACTCCGATAGACAAAGAGGCTTAAAAATGATGACCCTCCAATGTTTCACAAACATTCTACTCGGGCAATAAAAAAATGTGTAGGACTTGCAAATTAAAAACTGTAATGGTTCCAGCAGCACATTCCCAACTCAGTAATGAAAAGGTTTAAGTCAACAAGATGTAGGCTGACTCTTAAATTAAATACCGGCCCTGTGACCTGGCTGTGGGACCAAGCTGTCCTATAGCTACCTAAATAAGGCTTGTGCGAGGTTGCCACTATCGAAGGAAGGCACATGTGTACACGTGTACTGTGAAAGACAATTCAGACTCGGGGAGAAGAAATCAGTACAGAGGTTGCATTTACTGCAGCACTTAATATACTTGTAGTTCAAAAGGTGATAACAAAATTATGCTCTCCTTTTGTTCCATCATAAATTACCCCATCCTGCTGCCTTTCAGCTGTGCAAGAACAGGTACTGCGTGCATCCCTAAGCCCCAGCTAGCTGACTCTTCGATGCTCTACAGGGAAGCGGCAGGGCTTTGTGGGACGTTGAAGGTATCCACCAGTGAGTGACTCACAGAGCTCCACCTTGGGAGCTCTTGGCATTTCAGTAAAGGAAATCAGGAACGCTGACAATCACTTTTTTTTTTTTTAAAGGTGGGGGGGGGTCTGTACAATAGACCCAAAATTTCTCTTGACAGTATGCCGCTAATCAGGTAAGTATGCTTTTGCAATAATTTAACTTTACCCAGTTAACCGGGATGCAAAACAAGGTCATTAGAAAACCAGGATGGCTTTAGACTTTTATGAGTGAACGAGTGGCAGTCTGGGTCTTGCCAGACACGGCAGTGCTTCGGCAGGCGTTCTGCCTTCTGCAGGAGACCCTGTTTCCAACAGGAATGAACTCAGAGAAGTAAAAGTTAGAGGGCCGCTCTATCACAAGGGCCTCTAACACTGAGTCACCAGCTTCCACCTTCCTGAGGGGGCCTGAGATATTTCTGGAGCGGGTTCGCAAGCTGGACAACCGGGGACAGAAGCTGTTAGCACGGCAGCTGCATTGGCTGTCTCAGGCCAG